CACTCCTCTGTGGCCCACTCGAGCCTTATCAGTTTTCTTGTAAATGCAAAATACAGCGAGGGCATACGCATAAGCGTAATATCCAACAACGGGACCTCTAGGACCCGAAACAGCCCGGCCCGCGCCCACCAAAAGAAACCCTTGTTGCAAAGATCACCCTGTCGACAGCTCTGGTCGATGCCACTCTGGTGCGACGGAGGTTCCGAAGCAGGTCGGCAAGCTCACTGAAAAAGTCCTCAGCTGAGGCACGGCAATGCGCATGGGTCTTACCCAAAACCGAGGCGCCAACGGCCAGCAGTTCCTACTCAGGGTCCTACTCACTGTAGAGAAACCCGCCGTTTCTTCAGGAGGTCGGTCTGCAATGCCAAGGGTCGCCCCAGGTGTCTCTGTTGCCATCGGGCTGTTCCCGGCCCCGCCGCGGCTCATCCTGACGACACGTCTTTGGCACGTCTGGCCGAGTTTGAATGCAAGTAGATGAGTCGTGGGTGAACACGTGGACAAGGTATCTGCAACAGGCTAAGACCCATGACATGAAGAACCGGGCACGGGAAACCATCAGGCTTCAATCATGCTTCTATGTGTCCGTGAATTGTTTGCGTGATTCGCAGGTTTGTAAAGTCTGGATCCGAGAAGTACCCAGCTTCGCGGCAACCAGCTTCTGACATTGGACTGCAAACTCAGGGAACGCCAAGATCCTGTAAGCAGCGCAAGAACATTGGAAACCGGGAAGATGGCGGTTGACTTCCTTCAAGAAGCGCTGTCAAACTCAGGTCACCCAAACTAAGCTTCGGCAATAAACATGTCACACTTCTATTTACACCTGCACATGCAGTTCCTGGCTTCATGCTTTTCTGCCCCCATAAATCCAACATGGTTCCAGGGTACGAATACGATACCCCTGATCTCCAAAACTATCTACACACTATGTGCCCTCAATGTCTTGCAACTTGCAGAAACTTGTAGCATGACCCCGGTAGGGCTGCCAAAGATAACTAGACAGCAACAGCCACGTAAAGATTACAGTCCAAAGCCTAAACCCGTGCTCAATCCGAGCTTGTTCACTCGCCGGAATCGCAGACTACAGACAGAGAAGCAAATCCTAAAACCCTAAACCCTAAACCCCGAAGCCCTAAACCCTAAACCCTAAACCCTACAACCCTAAACCCCATCCCCGAATCCCGCAAGGCACGAAGGCAGGTGCCTCCCACGAGGCGGCTCGAAAGGCCAGGCTCAATTGCAGGCAAGCACCCAGCACCTCATTGAAAGGCGAAGCTGGCTCTGTGAAGTTTTAGGGTTTAGGTTTTAGGGTTTAGGGTTTAGGGTTTAGGGTGTAGGGTGTAGGGTTTTAGCGATGGGGGCTTAAGTTTAGACTCTCGCAACTCGGGCAATCCAGGCCAGGGGATTCGGATTTGGGGCGGAGGCTTCAGGATTTCGGGGTCAGAGGGCTGTGGATTGAGGGCTTTGTTGCTGGGTTCTTGTTAAGGGATTTAATTTAAGTTGCCATACTGGGGATCTTTAGTAAAGAATATGGTTTCCTTACTATGGTAACTTAAATTAAAATCCCTTAACAAGAACCCAGTTGTTGCTGGGGTCGGGGTTCGGTTTTGTCGCAAAGCCCTCGTGCCATGTCTGCGTGGAGAGTAGGCCCGGCATGCCGAGTGCAAATGTGACCTTCGCTCTAGTAGAGTTCATGGGACATGTGTTCTAAATGCTTAAGCTTTCCAGAAGCCTGATCTAGTTTGTGTAATTCTCTGAACCAAGAAATCAGCCTTTGCAACCGCTTGAAATGCAGGACCTGGAAATTCTAGAACACAGGTTCAGAACGAAAAGGGATACTGCAACGTACCAGTGCCATGGCTGTAGCTCGCCACGTTTAGGGTTTAGGGTTTAGGGTGCCTCAAACCTGCTCACCAGTCTGAGACCGTGAAATCAAAACGTATAGGAGCAACACCCAGGGGAAAGAAACATGATCGGATGGCACGAACCATAGCCGGGCGAGAAGTCCCAGACTTCATGCGTCTGAAAATACCATGCGGGCAGATCGGGAACATGGGAAAAAACTGTGACATCAAGACTCAGAGGCTCCCACATTACGGTTTCAGAGTTTATGCGGTCCTTTGCAAGAGGGCTCCAGACTATCGGGAGGATAACTTCAGAAGGTCCCAGTCCGGAACCAGCAGGAGGATTCAATCACACCCGCACTCGACTGCTGATTTCTGGAAGCACAAGACCTCCGTGGCTTCTGCCAACACCAGAAAACAGCCAATGCGCCTCAACAGGAGTCAACAACAGCGACTACAGGAACCACATATAGTTGCAAAACAGTCAGAGCAGCAACTGCGGCCATGGCCACCCAAACTGTTAAAATGAACATCGCTTCCATCGGTCTGGTCTTCCCGTATCGTGTCGAAGACAGCGAGACAAGTTAGAGGGGTCTTCCAAAAACAGCCAAGTGGCCACAGCCAGGCCCACGAGAAGATGTCGTGGCATGTTCAGGCCATACCGGAGCCTGCAGCTGCGACTTGAGTTTAAAGCAGTAGGCTTGAACAAACAAGCGGGATTCAGGCTTCCCAATGTCGGGTGGCAGAAGAAGAACAAAATAATGCAGAGTGTCCCCTATCTGGTGATGGCAGAGCCTACTCAGGAACAAATGCGCAGGCCTTCAAATCTCACACACCGAGACCGCAAAGATGAACTGACGCCCTCTGCAGTGTCGCGCAAGGACGGCAGACGTCCATGAGAAATGTGGGGGCTTCGCCACATGTAGGCTTTCATGATTCAAAACACGAAGGCCGTGCTTAAGGATTGAAAGGATCAGTGCTCAGGCCAGGCACAATCAACGCGAACGCAACGACCTATCGATCGAATTCTTCTGGCATACAGCATGCACGAGGGCACATATGGAACAGTCAGACTTGCAAACAACGTTCTGAAGCCATAATCGGGCGAAGGAACACGGCATCAAGCATCGAAGGCACGTAAGGACAGACCTACTCTTGTGGGAACGTGCCCTGTGCTAGCGGGGTATCCCCAAACATCTCGTCAAGGTATGGACCCTGCCTCCGCAGCTTTGCAAAAGTCAAA